GCTCGGCTAATTTTTTTGATTTATTGTAGAGATGAGGTCTCACCTGCCCAGGTGGGTCTCGAACCCACAGGCTCAGGCAATCCACTCACCTCAGCCTCCCAAAGGCACAGGATTACAGGCTGAGCCACTGAGCCCGGCTTCCCCCTCATTTTAAATCATAACTTTGCCAGGAGGCAGGCCCAGTATCTGCCACATAAGCAGCCTGGCCCTGCTCTGTGTTTCTAGGTGGACCATGCAGCAGCCGTGAAAGAGTACAGCCGATCCTCGGCTGATCAGGAGGAGCCCCTGCCACATGAACTGCGGCCCTCAGCAGTGCTCAGGAGGACCATGGACTACCTGGTGACCCAGATCATGGACCAGAAGGAGAGTAGCCTGAGGGACTGGTATGACTTCGTGTGGAATCGCACACGTGGCATCCGGAAGGTATCAGCTGCCTCTGATATGGAAACTAGAAAATGCATGTACCTCCCAAAATCAAACTGATAGTTATTTTCATAGTATTCAGTTATATTTCGTCTGAAACAAAAATATGTTTATTTAAACCATTACAAAGTCCTATTAAAATGTACTTTATGGGCTTTGTTTCAAATTGAAATGTGAGAAATTCAGGTAATAAGGATATTTTTCTCATGGTTGATTCTGCATGGGAATGTGTATGTATGAGGAACATGTGTAAGTGTGTGCAGTGCATGTCTGCATGTGTAATTCTCCCCCTTACCTATGGCCAGGATATCACACAGCAGCATCTCTGTGACCCCCTGACGGTGTCCCTGATTGAGAAGTGTACCCGATTTCACATCCACTGTGCCCACTTCATGTGTGAGGAGCCCATGTCCTCCTTTGATGCGAAAATCAACAATGAGAACATGACTAAGTGCCTACAGAGTCTGAAGGAGATGTACCAGGACTTGAGAAACAAGGGCATCTTCTGTGCCAGTGAAGCAGAGTTCCAGGGCTACAATGTTCTGCTCAATCTCAACAAAGGAGATATCCTAAGGTGAATTTCCAAGTTCAAAAGTTGGCCTAAGATGTATGAAAAGGCCCCAGGGGGCCCTATGAGCATTGTTAGCAATTCCCTGTTTCCAGAGAGTTTTGTCAAAGATCTAAGTAATAAGAGAGGAAAAAATTGTGTGAAATGAAAATGCCAAGAATGACATATTAATGATGAATGAATTTTAAACCCTGGTCTGATAAGTAAGTAGACATTTGCATGAGAAATATGGCAGAGTTCTCTGGGCTTCCATTTGTGGTATTGGTAAACTGGGCTCTGGTGGGCAGTGTCCCCTTTAGTTCTAAGCTTCCCTTATTTATGCTGAAACTCTTTAACTTTGTATTTTCCTCAAGAACCTTGTGGCAGAATGTCTAGATACGTGATTGATATAAAATTTTAAAATTAAGCCTTATAGATAATTGGTTATTGAAAATGACTGTGGTGTTTTTTCATATGTGTTACGCATTTGTCCCCCATCTTGAAGAATTCTGCTAAATCAACTTATTTCTTTCTTTTTTTTTTTTTTGAGTTGGAGTCTCACTCTGTCACCCAGACTGGAGTGCGGTGGCCGGGAGCCTCGACCTGCTGGGCTCCGGCGATCCTTCCACTTTAGCCTTCCAAGTAGCTGGAACTACAGGCGTGCACTACCACGCCCAGCTCATTTTTGACTTATTGTAGAGATGAGGTCTTGCCAAGTTGCCCAGGTAGGTCTCGAACCCGTGGGCTCAGGCAATCCACTCACCTCAGCCTTCCAAAGGTGCAGGATTACAGGCTGAGCCACCGAGCCCGGCTAATCAACTTATTTCTAAACCAAAAAAAAAAGTTAAATTTTCTGTTTCTTAGGCTTAACCATTGAGCATAGCTGGCAGTCAGTTGGCATTACTTTAAAGTAACTTTTTGCTAATTGGTTCCTAAATTTATGTTTCTTGCTATTTTTAGAGAAACCTTTTCTATCAAGTGGTAGCTTTGAAGTTTGTAAATTCTGAGTAACTGGCACATTTCAACATTTCACCATTAAGACACTTTTTTTTTTCAGTTGGAGTCTCACTCTGTCACCCAGGCTAGAGTGTAGTGGCATGCTCATGGCCACCATAGCCTTGACCTGTTGGGCTCAGGTGATCCTTCCATCTCAGCTTTCCTAGTAGCTGGAACTACAGGCACGCACCACCATGCCCAGCTAATTTTTTGATTTATTGTAGAGATGGAGTCTCACCAAGTTGTCCAGGATGGTCTCGAACCTGTAGGCTCAGGCAGTCCTTTCACTTTGGCCACCCAAAGTGCTGGGATTAAAGTCGTGAGCCACTGTGGCCAGCCAAGACACTCTTTTTCAATATGATTGAACTCTATTACTTACCACATTTATCTTCTTGGAAATTTTAGCTAATTAAAAATAACATTGTAACCCCTTTTTTCTCATTTAATTAACAGAGAAGTACAACAATTCCACCCTGCTGTTAGAAACTCCTCCGAGGTGAAATTTGCTGTTCAGGCTTTTGCTGCATTGAACAGTAATAATTTTGTGAGATTTTTCAAACTGGTCCAGTCAGCTTCTTATCTGAATGCTTGTCTTTTACACTGTTACTTTAATCAGGTGAGTAATACAACTGTGCTTGCAGAGTTAGAAGAAAGCAAGTTGTTCCTTGTGCTATTCAAGTGCTGCTCTATTCCAAGCTTTTCCAAGCAGGTCTTGGACTGACTTTCTGTAACGCTTGCAGCAGCCCCAAGAGCAGTTACCAGTGTTGCCCTATTTTACAGGGGTTGGCACCATTTGTCACCATCAGAATAGGCTGTGCAATGGAAAAAACTATTCTGTGGTTCAGATAAGAGAAATCTCTTTAGAACAACGTCATTTGAATTCAGCACTATCATCTTCCATGAAAACAAAGAAACCAAAAGCAAAAATCTCATATCCTATGCATAAATAACTTTGAAATCCTTGGTGTTTTTAATCTAAATCTTTGGAGTAAGCCTGATGATACTGAGTTCTTTTCAGTTGGTATCTAAGTGTCTGTTCTGCTGCTTGCTGTGCCATGTGCTGGATTACAGAGGCAATGCCAAGACTAGTCTCTCACCTGGAGTTTTGCACAGTGTCAACTCTTCATCTCAGAATTTCCAAAGTCAGTTCTTTAGTTCCAACCCCACAGAGATTCAGGGCCAACCATAGCACAGCCTCAGAGAGGAACAGCAACGTAGTTACTCTGAGTCCAGCACCCAGACGTAACTTTCATTAGCATTTTCACGTTTTTCCTTTGTCTACTTTTTTTTTTTAGATTGGAAAATATAGTTTATTTAGAAAGTAAATTAGAGAGAGAATAGAGAGAACAGATTTACCTCCCCAAGGTAGGGAAGAGGGCCAAATCTAGGAAACATGGCGACCATAGCTCAAAAAGCCACATGGCCAGAGTTTAGCAAAGCAATGGCAATCTTTTTTTTTTTTAAGGCACTAGTGATAATGATATGAACAATTTTGTTTCCAAGTGATACATTTTTCTTGGCATTCCCTAGTCTCTGTGGTATTTTTTTAGCACCCATATGACTTTGTATTAAGTGGATGTTACACAGTTTACTTTCCATGCTTTTGTGATGTACAGTTTGTTTTCTAATTTTTCTTCTAAATAAAACTTACATAGTCCATCCTTTTCTGTGGGACTATTTGCTTGGCACACATTCCTCGGCATCTGCCACTGAGCACAGAGCCTGTGTTCTATGCAATCTCTAACCTTGAGATCCATCTTGCCAATCTACCTTCCTGAGGGACTGGGCTACAGCTGAGCCCTGCTGGCAACACTGGCTGTTCTGTGGTCATGGGGGTAGCTGACTGTGATAGTCTCTTTTTGAGGCTGCAGTGATTTGACTTCTGGTTTCAGATCCGCAAGGATGCACTACGGGCACTTAATGTTGCCTACACAGTGAGCACACAGCGCTCTACTGTCTTTCCTCTGGATGGTGTGGTGCGTATGCTGCTGTTCAGGGACTGCGAGGAGGCAGCCGACTTCCTCAACTACCATGGTCTCACTGTTTCCGATGGGTAAGACTGAGAATGGAACTCCAAGTCTTTTTCTCCTCTTTTTTCTTTTTTCTTCTGATAAAGTGCTGTGAAGAGCTAACTACTTGCCTGGCCTTGGAGAAGGTGCATCCATAAGCTGCCCCTTTGGCATACAGGATGGCTAGAGAGTGTTCCCAAGGTCATACACCTATTGTCAGGAGGTTGAGGTTCAGACCAAGTTCTTTGTGACTCCAAAATCAATGCTTTTCATGAGTTACCAAAAAACCTAAAAATAAAGGTTAGGCCCTTCCTTATTTTGTCCTTTAAAAGTTGCCTTTGCTAGCCTGTGACAGGCCATTGCCTCCCTCTGGTGGCTGACATGGAGGCTCCAGTTGACCAGACCAGGTTCTTTGGTACTTAGCAGTCAGATTGTTTTGAGACCATGATGAAACTCACTGGCTCTCTCTTAGAAAAATGGCACCTCACACTTAACAATCTGTTAGGTTCCCTACCCTGCCTCCTGTGACTCCTCATCTGCCAGCCCCACCTGTGTCTTCCCTCTAGTTCTGTCCTCATGAAACGTGAGCCAGACGACATCCCTAAGAAGTGAGGGAGTGTGTAGGTATGTGTCTTAATGCTGGTCCTGGTTATCCCATGGTCATCAAGGCTGGCAGCAGTGGGAACTGGGCCTTTGCTTTCCCTCATTTACACATCGCCCATGGTGACACAGGATGGAGTTTGTGCTGCCACCTGAAGGGCTTCCGGCACTGCAGGAGGCACTGAGAGAGCAAGGCTTTCTCCAATAGTGACATCTCCTTGTGGTTCTTTGTGATCTGGGTAGCTGCGTGGAGTTGAACCGGTCTACGTTCCTGGAACCAGAAGGATTATCCAAGGCCAGGAAGTCAGTATTTATCACCAGGAAGCTGACAGTGTTGGTTGGGGAAATCGTGAATGGAGGACCACTGCCCCCTGTCCCTCGCCACATCCCTGTGTGCAGCTTCAACTCCCAGAACAAGTACATGGGGGAGAGCCTGACTGCAGAGTTGCCCGTCGGCACTCAGAAACCCAGCCTGGATGCAGTGGGTGAGTGAAGTGCTTTTGCAGCGAGGGAGGTAGCGCATTTGCCCTCTAGGAAGCTTATTCTGGAAGGCAGGGCATCTGCCTTATTTTGGGGCTAGGGGTGTGGCTCTCACTCAGGACTCAGATTTTTTTCACTGAGAGTGAAAAGGCCTAGCTCTCCATCACATTGCACATGAAGCAAACGTTGTCCTGCATGGCAGGTCCCAGGGATGGCAGGCCAGTCCTCAAGGTCATGGGGGTGGACTAGGGCTGTGCCCACACAGAGACTGATGTCCCTGTGGTGTTGGGCGCTGTGCACTACAGCCATGTTTTCCCTTTATGTTTCCTTCCAGATGGTGGGAGAGGAGAGGAGTGTATCACAGAGTCCAATGTACCCCTGCCTGGTCTCCTCCCACAGTCTCTCCCTGCCTCTGTGCCCTCACCAGCACCTCTGCCTCCAGTCCTGGCACTGACCCCATCCACGGCTCCCAGCTTCTTTCAGCCCTCCATGCAGCCTGAGCTGCTTCCTCCAAAGCCTGTGCCCGTGTACTCCGATGCGGTAGGGTATCTTTTGGATCAGGATTCTGAGATGCCCACAGATGTCCTAGGCTCCACTCCTGTGGGTGGGGCTGTGATACCTAGTCTCATAGGGGAAGAGACAGGCAGAGAGAGGCGAGGGAGGGGACCTACTCACAGTCACTCAGTCTCAGGTGGCAAAGCTGGGGCCAACCCACCCAGGCCCACTGTATAACCTGTCTTCCTCTAAGTAGCTTCCCTCACAGCAGCAACCTGAGCCCCTCATGTCTGATCTAACTGAACACCTGCTCATTTCAGATGGCCATGGACAGTCTGAGGAGGGGACCTATGGGATCATGGGCAGCATTGTGTGCCCACTATGGGGGTAGCCTTAGGGTCAGCATGTCCACTACAGGGATGGCCTTGGGGTCAACGTGTCCACTATGGGGTTAGCTTTAGGGTCAGTATGCCTGCTTATGGAGGTGGTCTTAGGGTCAACTTGTCTGCTGACGAGTGGCCTTGAGGTTGGACAGGGCCTGTCCACCATACAGTTGTGAGACTTGATGTGTCACCTGGCTGTTAGATGCTGGGCACTAACCCCTTTGGGGATTATAGAGTCCTGAGGGGGAGTGTAAAGTATGGCCACAGACATTGAGGATGTTCAGCGTGGACAAGAGAAGGCTGAGTCAGGAGCGCTGTGTGGCTATCTGCAGGGTGGTCCTTCAGCAGGCGGCAGGCTCACCCTGTTCCCTCCAGAAGGTAGCTTTCCATTCATTAGAGGAAACCTTTCCTGAAGCAACTTGGGAACACCCAGCGTCTGGGATCATGCCTTTAGTCTGCTCAGTGACGGGTCTCATCCAGGGTCTCATTAGACCCCTGTGCCGGTCTCTCCGCAGGACCTAGCGCAGGTGGTGGATGAGCTCATCCAGGAGGCTCTGCAGAGAGACTATGAGGAGGTCAGCTCTGCAGGGGCTGTCTACGCAGCCACAGCTCTGGGGTGAGTGGTGTCCAGCGCTCCACCTACCCCTTCTTCCCTAAGGCTGTCTGCACTCTGGGGACTGCCCCCCACCCTGTAGTTCAGTCATCTCCAACCTTTTTGGCATCAGGGACCGATTTTGTTGAAGACAGTATTTCCATGGATGGGGGTTCAGGGAAATGTGCAGTCAAACCTCACTGCTAATGTTCATCTGTATTTGCAGCTGCTCCTCAGTGCTAACATCACTGCCTCAGCTCCACCTCAGATCATCAAGCATTAGATACTCATGAGGAGTGTGCATTCTAGGTCCCTTGCATGCACAGTTGACAATAGGGCTTGTGCTCCTATGAGGATCTAATGCTGCCGCTGATCTGACAGGAGGCAGAGATCAACCCCTGCTGTGCAGCCCAATTCCTAACAGGCCATAGACAGCTATCTGTCTGTGTCCTGGGGGTTTGGGACCTCTGTTCTAGTTATTTCTTCTTGTAAAACTGCTTTCCTTCTTCAGCAGGAGCTTACAGCTGCCTATTTGTACAAGTGTAAAATTCGCAACGCCAGTTTCAGGGACTTATGTCTCCTTCAGACCTAAATGTTGACTTTGTTTTCTAGGTGAATGTAGTTTCTCATGTTCCTGGTGTTTTTTTTTTTTTTTGGAGTCTCATTCTGTCACCCAGGCTGGAGTGTAGTGGCACATTCATGGCCTCAGGCTCAGATGATCCTTTCACTTCAGCCTTCCAAGTTGCTGGAACTACAGGCGTGCACAGATACACTCAGCTAATTTTTTGATTTATTGTAGAGACAAAGTCTCACCAAGTTGCCCAGGCTGGTCTCAAACCTCTGAGCTTAGACAATTCTCTCACCTCCACCTCCCAAAGTGTTGGGATTAAGGTGTGAGCCACTGTGCCCAGCTCTGATCTTCTATTTCTTTCTTTTTTTTTTTTTTTGAGTTGGAATCTCACTCTATCGTCCAGGCTGCAGTGCAGTGGCACACTTCTGGCCACTGCAGCTTCAACCTGCTGGGCTCAGGTGATCCTTCCGCCTCAGCCTTCTAAGTAGCTGGAACTATAGGCACACGCCACCATGCCCACCTAATTTTTTGATTTATTGTAGAGATGAGGTCTCACCAAGTTGCCCAGGCTGGTCTCGAACCTGTCGGCTCAGGCATTCCTCTCACCTCAGCCTCCCAAAGTGCTGGAATTATAGGTGTGAGCTACCATGCCCAGCCTGATCTTCTATTTCGTATTGGTATGGAACTTCATTTATGTGTGCCTTTTGAGCTAAGTGTAGTTTACTAAAGTTTATAATTTATAAGCCCATTTTCCTTTACATTTTAAACATAATTTTAAAATCTAATAAGGTAAAAATGTGTTCATTCCTATTAAAAATTAAAAGCACCTACTTTTACTTGATCTAGTCAATAAATTTAATAATCAAAATCTTTCTATTATGCACCTTTTGTAAAATTAATTGAAATAATAAATGTAGGTAATCCGATTTTCTTGGATTTCAAACATCTTTTAAAAATCCCAATACACATGAATTGCATAGCGATAAGAAAAGGTATTATTTCACCTGTATAAAATATTGATTACACAAAAGGATCAACCTTATCTACAGGTTTGATTTATTATTTCTTACCTTGGAGTTAGATATATACATTTTATTTGATGGAACTAAAAATAAATTATTTTCATAGGCTTACTTTTTTTTATTGTGGTAAACCCATTTTAACTATTTTTAGATTTATAATTCAGTGGCATTAAGTATACTGACAGTGTTGTGTATCCTTCACCATTATTTCCAGAACTTTTCCATCATTCCAAATAGAAACTCTATACCCATTAAACAATAATTTCCCTTTTTCTCCTTTTCCCAATCCCTGGTTACCTCTGTTCTACTCTCTTTTTCTATGAACTTGCCTATCATAGGTGACTCATATAAGTGGAATCATGCAATGTTTGTTCTTTTGTGTCTGGCTTATTTCACATAGCATGATAGCTTCATCCATGTTGTAGTATCTATGCATGTTCATCTGTGCTGTAGCATGTATCAGAATTTCTTTTTTTGATGAATAATATTCCATTTTGAATACACACACACACACTACATTTTATTTATCTGTTCATCTGCTGATAGACACTTGGATTTTTTCCCTACCTTTTGGCTGTTGTAAGTAATGAACACTGGTGTACAATTAACTGTTTAAGTTCTTGCTTTCAATTCTTATGGGTACATACCTAGGAGTATAGTTGCTGGCTCATGTGATCTATTTGTAAATATTTTTTTTAACAAGCTCTTTTTAGATCATATTTTTAATTTTTAGAGGAGCTGCCTAAGTGTTTTCTACAGTGGCACGTAAATGTAATCATTTTACATTCCTACCAGCAATGCATAAAAGTTCCAGTTTCTCTTTGTCTTTACCAACACTTACTATGTGTCTGTTGTTGTTGTGGCTTGTTTATTTCTAAAGCCATTATAATAGGCATGAAGTAGTATCTCATGATTTTGATTTGCATTTCCCTTTCCCTTATGACTGATGAGGTTGAGCGTCTTTCCATGTGCTTATTGCCCATTTGTAGATCTTCTTTGGAGAAATATCTGTTCAAGTCCTTGACCAGTTTTTGATTTTTTTTTTTTTTTTTTTCCTTTTTTGAGTTGGAGTCTCACTGTGTCGCCCAGGCTGGAATGCAGTGGCACACTCACAGCCACCCCAGCATCAACCTTAGCCTTCCAAGTAACTGCCCGGCAAATTATTTTTTATTTATTGTAGAGATAAGTTCTCACCAAGTTGCCCTGGCTGGTCTCGAACGCTCAGGCTCAGGCAATCCAGTTGCCTTGGCCTCCCAAAGTGCTGTGATTACAGACTAAGCCACCGAGCCCGGCCTGATTCGGGTTTTTTTTTTTTAATTGTTGAGTTATTAATGTAGGAGTTCTTTTATATTCTGAATACTAATCTCTTATCAGATATGTGATTTGCAAATATTTTCTCCCATTCTATGGGTTGTTTTTTCACTCTCTTGATAGTGTCCTTTGATGTACAATTGTTTTTAATTTTCAATGATCTATTATCTGGTTTTTTTCTTTTGTTGCTTGTGCTTTGGGGTCAGATCCAAAAAATTATTGCCAAATCCAACATCATGAAGATTTTTCCGTGTGTGTGTGTGTGTGTGTGTGTGTGTGTGTTTTAGAGACAGGGTCTCATTCTGTCATCCAGGCTAGAGTGCAATGGTGTGATTGTAGGTTGCTATAACCTCAAAATCTTGGGCTCAAGTCCTCCCACATCAGCTTCCCAAGTAGCTGGGACTACAGGCACATGCTGTCAAGCCTGGCTAATTTTTAAATTTTTTTAGAGATGGGGGTCCTGCTAAGTTGCCCAGGCTGGTGTTTAACTCCTGGCCTCAAATAATCCTCCCACATCAGCCTCCCAAAGATCTGGAATTACAGGTGTGAGCCTGGCCTTAAATGAAAACATGCCTGGCCTTTCCATGTTTTCATTTAAGAGTTTTATAGTTTTAGCTCTTAGGTTTAGGTCTTTGATCCATTTTTATTTCATTTTTGTATATGGTGTAAAGGTAAGCGTTCACCTTATTCTTTTGTATGTGGGAATCCAGTTCTCTCAGCATCATTTGTTGAAAAGATTATAATTTTTGCGTTTAGTGGTCTTGGCACCCATGTTGAAAATCATTTGACCATATAAATGGGGGTTTCTTTCTGGGCTCTGCATTCTGTTTCATTGGTCTATATATCTGTCCTTTTTTAAGTACTATATTGTTTTAATTAATGTAGCTTTGTAGTAAGTTTTGAATCAGAAAGTATAGATTCTTCAACTTTATTGTTTTTCAAGATTGTTTTGCTATTTGGGATCCCTTGAGATACCATGTTAATTTTTTGTTTGTTTGTTTTTTGTTTTTTGAGTTGGAGTCTCACTCTGTCGCCCAGACTGGAGTGCAGTGGC